CTCCACTTCTGTTTCTTAATGGCAGGAGAATACATACACAACTCGCGTTTCAACAAGCATAATCCCTAGTTTTTTCATGGGCTTCTTTATTCATGCTTGTATGGAAATCCTTAATATTATATTGTCACCCTCGTTCTTGATCCCACTTGTTGACGAGTATCTATTGCTTAAATCTAGATGCCCAACTACACAAGTAAACACGACCTTTACACGAGATACAAAGTTATCAATTATAAAGAAAATGAAACCCTATATATAGTGTATATCTGTAACGACCAAAGCCTACCACTAGTAGATATTGTCCGGTTTTATGACATCCTCATAGTTTTAAAACGCGTCGGCTAGGGAGAGGTTTCCACATCCTTATAAGGAATGCTTCGTTCTCCTCTCCAACCGTTGTGGGATCTCACAATCCACCCCCCTTGAGGGCCCAGCATCCTCATTGGCACACAGCCCAGTGTCTAGCTCTGATATTATTAGTAACGACTCAAGCTCACCGCTAGTAGATATTGTCCGTTTTGGCCTCTTACATGTCATCATCAGCCTCACTGTTTTAAAACGCGTCTACTAAGGAGAGGTTTCCACACCTTTATGAGAAATGCTTTGTTTCCCTCTTTAACCGATGTGGGATCTCACAATATCAGAGTGGTAGACTGTTCACATTGTTCGATTTGCTCTCTGACAAACTCACATCAATAGACTAAAAACAGAGATTTCTCAGCCATCTTGAACCACCACAACAATTAATTAATATAGCTAAATTTAGAAATGGTGCCAAGCATTCAAACTTTGATGTAGCAAAACTAGTAATACTTGAGTTCTTGAAGAAAATAATGAAGGAGCAGAAAAGGAATACTGGCTTTAATGCAGACAGCAATATACCGTGCCATCAGAAAGGATAATATACCAGTAAAAGGAAAACCAACCATGTAATAGACTTGTGGAAACTAAATTTACCTTGGTGAAGCTCTTCTCTTTATAGCTTGACCTCCACATCAACACCAGCTGGAAGGTCTAGTTGCATCAACGAATCGATTGTTTGGGCAGTCGGGTACAAAATATCGATTAGGCGCTGGTGGGTTCTGATTTCAAAATGGAATCTAGCATCCTTATGAACATGAGGAGATTTAAGAACACAATAGATGCGCTTTTTTGTAGGTAATGGCACGGGACCCATGGTTTTTGCATTTGTGTTCCTTGCAGCATCCATTATCTGCTTGCAAGAGTCTTCAATGAGGGGAACCCAGTAAGACCTTAGTTTAATTCTAATTTTCTGCTTTGGCGCCAGCTGAAACCACAAACATCTTAGTTCGTCAAAATCAGCCAAACAAAAGAAAAGGATGGATACTATCAATTATACGACCAACTAGCTCATCAGATAAGTCCCTAGATACACCTCGTAGCGCGTATAATTCAACAAATCAAATAACACAACACGACGACCTGCTGAAGACCTTATTGGCGTCTTGTCTTGTAAACAGAAAAAGGTACAAAATGAATATACTCTAGAAGTGATCAGGTTTAACGCCTTCCCTTGTACTTTAATTACTAGGCATGTTTTAGATTATGCTCAGTCTTATTCTTTTAGATTGGGGTCCTTTTCTATAATTAGTTTGGGTCTCCTTTTGTTTGGGCTTGTTTTTGTTTAACCTTCTTTCATTTTTCACATTGAAAACACCGTTTCTTACCCATATATATACATATATATCAGTAAATGAAGCCAGCAGAGTTATCGTAAAATTAGAGATGTGAGATCCCACGTCGGTTGAAAAGGGAAATAAAGCATTCTTTATAAGGGCGTGCAAACCTTACCCTAGTAGATGCGTTTTATAACCATGAGGCTGACAACAATACATAACGGGCCAAAGCAGACAATATCTACTAGCGGTGAGGTTGGGTTGTTACAATGGTATCAGAGCTAGACACCGGACGGTGTGCTAGCAAGGACGTTGGGCCCCAAGGGTGGTAGATTGTGAGATCCCATATCAGTTGGAAAAGGGAACGAATCATTTTTTATAAGAGTGTGGAAACCTCTCCCTAGAAGACGCGTTTTAAAACTTTGAGAGGACACCCGGAAGGGAAAGCCCCAAAAGGACAATATTTGCTAGCAGTGGCCGTAGTGGCTTGGACTAGGGTATAAGAGCGAGACACCGAGCGGTGTGCCGACGAGGACACTAAGCCCCAAAGGGAGTGGATACCAGTCGGTGTGCCAATGAGGATGCTGAGTCCTAGAGGGGGGTGGATTATGAGATCTCACGTCAATTAGAGAAGGGAACAAGAGCCAGCGAGGATGCTAGGCCCCTAAGGGAGGTGGATTGTGAGATCCCATATTGGTTGGAGAGGGGAACGAAACATTATTTACAAGGATGTGGAAACCTCTCACTATCAAATGATTTTAAAACCTAGAGGGAAAGCCCAAAGAAGACAATATTTGCTAGCGGTGGGCTTGTTAGGTTATAGGTACATACATTCTATTCACTCATTACCTCACCCAATCAACGTAGCAGTTTAAAAAACTTATGATGCTGATATAATCTCATTAAATGATTTCACTTGTTATCTATTCATCAGAACCAATATAAATCTCGGAGTTTTGTTTTGGTTTCAGAAGCTGCTGTGCATGACATAAAACATAAGAATTACCTTATCCACATCCTCGCCAATGCTGAATGCTGAAGTCCCAGGCGCTTCAAAATCTTCACCCTAAACATAACATGAAAACAAACATAGAAGCACTGTCCAATCCATTGCCTTACAGAAACAAAACGGAGATTCCTTAGCTACTTGCAATGAAATTGAAAACAACATGGAAATTTAGAACACCATTCAATCACATCCAGAACAAAAATTCTCAAATTCATCACAAAACGTAAAGAAATCGTAACATTTTGCTCGATTCCGCACTACTTTTCTAGACGAACAACATTATCACAAACCTCGAGAATGGCAGCTCCGGAGTCCTCCAGGATTTCCGGAGGCGGTTCGTTGGCATCGGAGGAGTCTAGAACTTCGGGAGCAGCATAAACCCTAGACGACGGCAACGAAAAATGGAGGGGTTTGAGCTTTAAAGCAGTAGAAGAGAAACCAGAGAAGGGAAGAAATGTCGGTTTAGGATGAAGGGATGATAAGGGAATAAATAGTGAAGGAGATGGAATTATAGTAGCAGAGAGTGAAGAAATAGCCATGGAAGTTCCTCTGGATATCAATGGCGGAAGCTCTGAAACAATGGAAGCTTTTTGCTCGCAGCGTTATCCAAATCAATTTCTCGGTGTTTTTAATTTTCCCGGAAAATTTCATTCCGCACAAAATTGTGAATATTTTGGGCCATGATCACGACAAGCCCACTTAACTTAATCCAAACTCAAATTCAAAATTTCACCGCAAAAAATTTCATGTTAGGTAACTCGAGTAGTTCGAACCGATTTCAAAACTCAACCTAACCCATACCAAAAGTTTTAAAAGCAACTCGGTTAGAGTTCATAACCCAACCTAACCCAGATCCAAAATTTCATGTTGGTAGCTCAAGCAACTCGATTAGAGTTTATAATTCAACCTAACTTAGGCAAAAAATTTCATATTGGTAGCTCAAGCAACTCGATTAGAGTTCATAACCCAACCTAAACCAAACCCAAAATGTTATGTTGATAACTCAAGTAGCTCGAATACAGTTCATAACCCAACCTAATCCATACCAAAAATTTCATGTTGGTAGCTCAAGCAGCTCGATTAGAGTTCATAACCCAACCTAACCCAGACCAAAAATTTCATGTTAGTAGCTCAAGCAACTCTAGGGCACCATCCACTGTGCGCCAATACAGAAGGCTTAGTGGCATTTCCTTCTGTGACAGCATTTAGCTTGTGCAGGGCGACACGGGAAACCGCTTATTAAGTCTTGTTTTTTCGCTGACCGAATCCTGTTTTTGTTGCCTGGCCGAATTTTGCTATTTTCTGTATAATACTGCAGTGCAAATTACCCACATAACTTCTCAGGATTAACTTCATCTTTCACAATGTGTTGAACAGGAAAATTCAATTGTCTTAGTTCGTTAGAGTTCATAACCCAACCTAATCTATACCAAAAATTTCATGTTGGTAACTCAAGCAGCTCAATTAGAGTTCATAACCCAACCTAACCCAGACCAAAAATTTCATGTTAGTAGCTCAAGCAGCTCAATTAGAGTTCATAACCCATAAGAGCTCAAGCAGCTCGATTAGAGTTCATAACCCAACCTAACCCAGACCAAAAATTTCATGTTAGTAGCTCAAGCAGCTCAATTAGAGTTCATAACCCATAAGAGCTCAAACAGCTCGATTAGAGTTCATAACCCAACCTAACTCAGACCAAAAATTTCATGTTAGTAGCTCAAGCAGCTCAATTAGAGTTCATAACCCATAAGAGCTCAAACAGCTCGATTAGAGTTCATAACCCAACCTAACCCAGACCAAAAATTTCATGTTAGTAGCTCAAGCAGCTCAATTAGAGTTCATAACCCATAAGAGCTCAAGCAGCTCGATTAGAGTTCATAACCCAACCTAACCCAGACCAAAAATTTCATGTTAGTAGCTCAAGCAGCTCAATTAGAGTTCATAACCCATAAGAGCTCAAGCAGCTCGATTAGAGTTCATAACCCAACCTAACCCAGACCAAAAATTTCATGTTAGTAGCTCAAGCAGCTCAATTAGAGTTCATAACCCATAAGAGCTCAAGCAGCTCGATTAGAGTTCATAACCCAACCTAACCCAGACCAAAAATTTCATGTTAGTAGCTCAAGCAGCTGAATTAGAGTTCATAACCCATAAGAGCTCAAGCAGCTCGATTAGAGTTCATAACCCAACTTAACCCACCCCTCTATTTTCAGGATAGTCAAGTTGACTCGAATAAAAATCTATTCCAACCAAATCTTTATGATTTCAGTCTGATAGTCTGGATTGGTCAGGTTATTAGGTAACACGAACCGCCCTAACTCGGGTATCACTTTATTTTATAAAAAATTATCGTATATAAATCATTTTCATTAAATTTCTTACAATTTTATCCCAAAAGAGCCACCGAAAGTCTTACAAATAATTCCCTAAATAAAATAATTGTATTTGATTTTACAGTTATAAAGCACCAAACTGTTGCTTTGACAAACATCTCCCCTTTTTTTCCTCCCAATAAAGCAAAACCAGTTTCACAAAACAGAGCACTCACCTCTCATCTTTCTCTCCATCAATGGCTTCAGACTGGAACCATGGCGATCTCGAATCGGCATTGCACACTCTCGGCCCGGACAACCCGTTCCCCGAAAGCCTCTCCTTCCATCTCTCTCAGCCCACTTCTTGCTGCCACGTCGAAACCGAAAACTCCATGAAAGTAGACCTCACCAGGAACGACATTCCTTACTTCTCTCGCTTTCTCACAGCTTTGAGCTGCCACAGCTCCCTCAGAAGCTTGGAGTTTCATCTCGTCGACTGGGAACTCGAGCAGATGCAAGAGCTTTGTAGGTTGGTTGAGGATAATTCGGGCATTAGACATGTCATGTTTCGACGAAATAGATTGAGTAATGAATGCTTGGCAGAGCTGTGTTGTGTTTTGAGAATTAACAGAGGGATTAAAGAGCTTACGTTTTCGGAATGTGGGATTGGATCGGTCGGGGTTGGTTTGATTGCTTCTGGTTTGAAGGTCAATGATTCGTTAGAGGAGTTTCACGTTCGGGAGGACTCGATCGGGTCAAAAGGCGTGGAAGAACTCTCGAAGATGGTTGAAGAAAACTCGACTCTGAAGCTGTTGTCAATTTTCGACACGAATTCAATCACAGTTACCCCATTGATAGCTGCAGTTTTGGCAATGAATAGGAACTTGGAAGTGCACATTTGGAGTGGAAAAAGTTCAAAGGTGGTTGAGTTTGTACCTGGGAATAGCACACTCAGAATTTATACGCTAGACATAAATGGCACTCGCACGGTTGCCTGCGCGCTCGAGTTGAACTCAACGGTTAAAACACTCGACATGACTGGTATCCAGCTGAAATCTCGATGGGCAAGAGAATTCCGTTGGGCGTTGGAGCAAAATCGTTGCTTGAGGGAGGTAAAACTATCGAAAACTCACTTAAAAGACGAGGCAATCGTGCATATAGCAGCTGGACTTTTCAAGAACAAGCACTTGCAGAGCTTGTTTCTTGATGGAAACTTATTTACGGGCATCGGAGTCGAGCATTTACTCTGTCCTTTGAGCCGGTTTTCGACCCTGCAACTGCAAGCAAACATAACTCTCAGATACGTAACGTTCGGAGGTCGAAGAAACAAGATAGGAAGAGACGGGCTAGCTGCTATTCTACATATGCTCACAACGAACGAAACTCTTACTCATTTAGGGATATATGATGATCATAGCTTGAAACCAAATGACATGGTGAGAATATTCAGGAGTTTAGAGAAGAACGCATCGTTGAGACACTTATCGTTACCCGGCTGTAAAGGTGTTGATGGAGACATGGTGTTGCAGACAATAACAGGGATGCTGGAGGTAAATCCTTGGATCGAAGACATCGACCTCTCGGGAACTCCTCTTCAGAATTCCGGGAAAGCCAATGGAGTTTACCAAAGGTTAGGACAGAACAGGAACACTGATCTCGAACCTCTGGTGGATTCGCTCGACACGACCTTGACCGAGCCAAAAAGTTGTAGGATTTTCCTCTGTGGGCATGAATCTGCAGGTAAAACTTCCATATTGCAGAACTTTGGTTCTTCAAAACTTCCCTTCACAGAACAATTTAGATCTTTAGTAGCTCCAGTTGAACAAGCAGTAAGAACAATTGGAATGAAGATAAAAACTTACAGAGATGAAGACGTAAAAATATCGGTTTGGAATCTAGCTAATCAGCACGAATTCTATTCGCTCCACGATCTCATGTTTCCCGGGCCTGGAACTGCATCAGTATTTGTGATCATCAGCAGTTTAATCAGAAAACCAAGTAACAAAGACCCGAAAAACCTGAACGAGATAGAAGACGATGTTCGATATTGGCTACGGTTCATAGTTTCCAACTCTAAACGAGCATCACAGCAATGCGTGCTTCCAAACGTAACTTTGGTTCTAACACATCATGACAAAGTCGTACAACGTTCACAGAACGTGCAGCAAACTTTGATGTCAATCCAGGGATTGAGAGACAAATTCCAAGGCTTCCTTGACATATACCCAACAGTGTTTACTGTCGATGCACGCTCATCGGCATCGGTAAACAAACTCTTGCATCATCTTCAGAGAACGAGCCGCACTGTTCTCCAAAGAGTTCCGCAAGTTTACCAGCTCTGTAACGAACTGATCCAAATTTTGATGGACTGGAGATCAGAAAACTACAACAAACCAGTAATGAGATGGAACGAGTATCAGGATCTATGTCAAGTTCGTATCCCTCAGTTGAGAATACGTTCGAGACGAAGTAATCGAGACAAGATCGAGACAAGGAGGACGGCTCTTGCTACTTGCTTGCACGACGTAGGAGAGGTGATTTACTTTGAAGAACTCGGATTTATGATATTAGATTATGATTGGTTTTGTGAAGTTCTTGGCCAACTAATAAGACTAGAAATTAGAAACCATTCAACCAACAATAATGGATTCATCAGTAGAAAAGAACTGGAAAAAGTTTTAAAAAGCAAGTTACATAGCCCGATCCCAGGAACGAATTCGAAGGTATTTGAAAACGTGCAAGCTAGTGATCTAGTGGGAATGATGCTAAAACTCGAACTCTGTTATAAACAAGACCAATCAGACCCGAATTCGCCATTGCTAATCCCCTCGGTTCTCGAAGATGGTAGAGGAAAACCACAAAGGTGGCCGTTAAGTATGCCCGACTGCATCTACACAGGGCGACACCTAGAATGCGATGATTCGAGCCATATGTTTCTAACTCTGGGATTTTTTCCTCGACTACAGGCAAGAATACCCTAGTTCTATCTCTCTCTCTCTCTCGCTTTCTCTAATGGAACATTGTGAGTTTCGGTTTCCTAATCAGATTTTTTGCTGTTCGAAATTCAGGTGGATCTATATAACAGAATCATGGGATTAAAGAACCAATATGTAGCAAATTACAGCTTAGAGAAGTACCTGATCACAATAAACATCAATGGAATGTATGTCAGGGTAGAGCTCGGAGGACAGTTCAGCTACTATATCGATGTCCTGGCATGTTCCACGAAGAGCTTGACCGAAACTCTCGGATTTATCCAGCAGCTTATAATCCCAGCAATTCATGACCTCTGTAATGCCGTCATCTTGACCGAAAGCATAATCAGGCCCGAATGCGTGCAAAATTTGGTGGCACCTAGACATAGGAAAACCCAGAACATCTCAATACAACAACTGAAACTCGCATTGCTTTCAGTTCCTGCTGATGGGATGTATGAATATCAGCACACATGGTGTCCTGTGTCAGACTGCGGTAGAGAAATTGTTGCAGTCGGGTTTGATTTTGCTCGAGAGCTATTATCTGACGATGATTTCCGGGAAGTTTTGCATAGGAGGTACCATGACCTTCATGATCTTGCTGTTGAACTGCAAGTCCCGCACGAAAACAATCCGGAAGCAGTTGATCGCTCGTTATCCAATGACGAAACTGACAAAGTTGCAGCGACGTTCGATGGAATTGCAAAAGGGGTTGAAGCTGTTCTGCAGAGATTAAAGATCATTGAACAAGAAATCAGAGACTTAAAGCAGGAGATAAAAGGTCTAAGATATTATGAACATAGACTCCTCCTTGAGCTTAATCGAAAAGTGAACTATCTAGTGAATTACAATGTTGAAATCGAAGAGAGGAGAGTACCAAACATGTTCTATTTCGTTAGAACGGAAAACTACTCAAGAAGGTTGATTTCTAACCTGATTTCCGGAATGAATGCTCTCCGACTGCACATGTTATGCGAGTTCCGAAGGGAAATGCATGTCGTTGAAGATCAGATAGGTTGTGAAGTCCTGCAGATTGACAATATGGCAGTCAGGTCTTTAGCTCCATATACGACGAAGTTCATGAAACTGGTAACGTTTTCTCTCAGAATTGGAGCCCAAGTAGCTATGGGAATGGGGCACATGATCCCAGATTTGGGTCGGGAGGTTGCGCATCTAGCTGATTCATCGTTCTTCCATGGGGCAGCTGGAGCAGCTGCTGCAGGAGTAGTCGGGGCTGTCACTATCGGACGTGTAGGTAGTAGGGGAAAAAGCAGAGCTGGGGACATTCAGCAAGATCTCAGAACAGCACAACAATGGGTTGTGGATTACTTGAGAGAACAGAGTTGTTCAACTGGAAAAGATATTGCTGAGAAGTTTGGGCTGTGGAGAGTAAGATACAGGGATGATGGTCACGTTGCATGGATCTGCAGAAGACACATGAACCTCAGAGCACATGAAATAATTGAAGTTCCCATTTGAATGCCTAAGAAGATTCATGCTATGTGTCTTTCATATGTGTCTTTCACTGTGCGATGTCGTGATTTTGACATGTTCATGATCTCTTAAGAGGAATCAAGCCCCATAAATATTTTTCGCCCCGACTTTGTGGCTTCATTGGACCTTAGGCAAGGTTTGTCTTCGCCAGTCGCGCTTGTGCGGAATCCAAGCTTGTCCGACCACACACGCCGCCTACGCGTGCATGTTCAATCGTTCGCGCCACAACCGACTTGCCTCTACACTAGGCCAAATCATTCGGCTCGGCCTTGCCACTACTCAGGGCCAAAGTCTCTCAATGCAATACTGCATCTCATCTTGTCATCTTGATTACCATCGACATGGCTCATACATCTTGACGCCTTCCTGAGTCTCGAGGTGTCGTTGGCCATCACAACTCACTCGGTCATGTTATTGAGAACGGACCCACGTGTCGCTCATCTCATCGAGACATCCCGAACATTCATCCATCCGGGATCTTTCGAGGCATTGACCCTCCCGTGTCCATGTCATGTCATTTATGGATATCGTACTGGATAGTGGGTGCATATATCAGCCTCCGACACGCGGGTTGGTGCGCAATACAGGCACACCCGTGCCGCCCAATACTGTCCTTGAAAAACCCATTTCAAAGGAAGTCGTCCGAAACATTCGTCTCGGCACGCTCGCCTTCACTGTGACACACGCATATGCCACAGGGTAGCTCACTTAGGCCACAGGGCCTAGGGGTGGTGGAAAGTTGACACCATGTCTTCCTCTATAGTACATTTTGAGGCATTTTCAATACTCTACGCGCAGACATGATTTTAGCGAACGGTCATACGGTGTTATGGAGTGTCCGATTGACACCAAATTTGGCAAGCATTCATATTTCATATAGGACTTAACTCCATAACCGCATGCCTAAATTTCGTCTGAAACCCCAACTTTCGAGGTTAAGGCTTGGAACCCTACCCAGCCCTTTAACCAGCCTATTTGTGCCACTCTTGTCTACTCGTTGCCCTTGTCTTGCTTATGCCTCAACTTCTCTTCAATGCCCACTCTGTGCGATGTGTTAGATGACACACCGTCCTTCGGTCGCATCATGGCACTCGTCTAGGCCTTCGTGTGGTCAAATAGATTGTGACACTATGCATGCTTAGATCAACCAATTTAGAGTAAAATGATACAAACATGTTTATTTCTAGTGGAAATCCTATAGTCCTTAGTTTTGGATTTCCAACTTCAAAGAACCAAAATAAAGCTACTTCAGTTTCTCTGCTCATCACATCAGGAACAGTAAATGCTATACAAAGAATAAAAAGAAACCTGGAATTTCTGGACCGCACGATCTGAATCGACCGAAACCGGGCCATCAATGCACGGGTCTATCTAATCCATTCCTTGAAACAAACATAATGTCAATGTGGGACCAACATATAAATGATATGATTTTGATTTCACATAATTAGAAGTTGCATTCGAAAGTTAATTGTTACAACGAGGAATAGTAATTGATTCATGCTTACACCGATGATCATGATAGGACCGAGTTCGTAAGGTGTAGAAGCCATGATTTACTATCGTCCCGGACAAACCAACATACGACAGGAAACACCAGTCTACACAGATACATTATTACATTCCGCTACTGATAGTAGTATTCGTCCTATAGTTCTAGAGTTATTTGTGTCTTCGTCTAAAATGTAGATACCACAGTTTAGAAGAAAGCCCTGCTTCCATAGAATACTCGTGCATTACCGTTCTTTGAGGACGGTGTTTTCTCATCAGAGGTTGAATTTTCTGAACTGGTTGGTCCATTATCGACGTCCAGAGGAAGTTTCATCTTTGCCAACGACTCGGTAAATTGCTGCATGCTTTTCATATACATATCAACAATGTCCTGCTGCACTACATTTTGTTCTGGCTCAATGTTCACAGAGATAACAGGCTTTGAGATTGAATCACTTGGTACCTCAACAGACGAATCAGCCTCGCCGTTCTTAACATCCCCACACTTATCCTTTTCGATTGGTTCCTTAGTTCGAGGCTTTGAAGCTTCTGAAACATCGGATGACTCTGAGCTTGTTGGTGCGGAAGGTGAGGACACTCCATTCGTTGACAAGCTGCTAGGTGGAGAATCGAGCTTTGGAAGCTGGATAGACTCAACAGAAGCTGTCGAGAAGCTTTCTACATTATGCGCGCCTAATTCTGAACTCAGATGATCTTCGGTACCAGAAGTGGCTAGGCTCTCAGAGGCCTCAGACTCCGGATTAGAGCACGGGATGCTGAAATACTCAGACACCATCATCTCATCCTCGTTTACTATCTTAGGATCTGGAAACTCTATCTTATCCAAATCACTAGCTAGCGACTCGGATATTTCAGAATCCTTCAACGTTGCAGACGATTCCAAGGCAGCTTTAGGAACAGCCATCACGTCAGGCGAGGTTCCGTTGTATGCAAGAGATAGTTGAACAAATCCAGCAGGAGAATGGAACAAATCGGTCGAAGAAAGAGAAAACTCTTTCTCTAACTTTCCATCGTAAACAAGAACTTCAGTCAACGGAACCACGGCAAACCCCAACAACTGGTCTTCCAGATAATTCCTCACTCTACTCAACATCCATATCTCACATTTAAGGGAAGCATCGACGCTCCGAACATTCAAACAAAGATTTTCATTGAAGACCGGGTTCCTCCCAGCTCCATTAATGATTTTGGTGGATAGAGAATCATCAGGATCATTACTTAAACAAAGCTTAGCATAAACATCTTGCTTATGGTATATGCAGATATTATGAATGTCTCTAGCCTGGTGAATACATACGTCAAGTGTACCAATAATTTCCTCCGAGTTATACATCACCACTTCTTTTCGGTTAACCTCAACTTCCTTCGATGGAGTATCAGACATCCGACCGAAGAAATTGGGTTTCTGCCTCTCGGGCTCAGCAATGGGCGAGTTCTTCAATGGGGAAACAACGGATTGAGGGGAATCCATGATAAGACTTAAGAACAAGCCTGAAAATATTACAAAGTTAATTGAAAATCTAACAAAATCAAGTTAAGAAACTATGCAGAAATTCAACAGAAGATCGTTTCGTATCTCGAAACCGAAAATCACAACAGTGTGGTCTAAGTCATAATCCATAACATTGCGGTCTAAATCTCAAATGTAATGAGCAGTAAACCAAAAGTGAGTATCAGTTCAACCAAACTAAATGAGCAACAAGAACAATTCAACCTAGAACAAAATTTGAATCACAGAGAGCAGAAATTAAACGATTATATTGTGATAGAACCTTCAAATCAAAATCCTACACGCAAACCCCAACTCACATCAATTTATATATCCAACGATTCTCAAGATACAGAAGATGAACACTCAAGAACTAAGGATCAGACAAAACTTAGAATCACAAAACCATAAAGGCCAACAGGAACAAGAAATACTGGAATCCAAGGAAGTGCAAGCAGTAAAAGCAAGCAAAAAGTGAAAGCATCACAAAAGTCCCCGATCGGGGCCACAAAATTCAACAAGATCAAATAGAATTACTTCAAAATCTCGAACTGGCTTTGTTTCTTTGAGCTTCTAATCCTTTAATTGACGAACCCCAAACAGTTTTCCCACAAATCGGGAGCTCAAAATCGAAGATCTCCCAAAACCCAGTTGACAAATCGAAGAAACTTCGCCAAGAAAACCCTCAGAAACAGTTATATATACAAAAACAGCAAGATTAGAAGAACCCCAAGTCGAGTACAGCAGAAACAGAATTCAAGTTCATCGAAAAAAAAAAAAGGTTACTGAATTTACTGATTAGATTAGCCACCGAGCGAGAGACCCTCCTGATATTTAAGGGTAATTAGAAAGGTAGCCGCCCCACGCGTTAGCGTCGGCTGGACCAATAGGAAGAAGGGTTAGTGCGGGTTGAAGGTGGGGTCCTGAAACGAACAAGGGTAGGCCCTGTTGTGGACTGTGGGTTTAGAACTGGGGTTACACTGCCCACCATTAAAAGAAGGCTGACTTTTACAGTTCAAAAAGTGGAAGATTATGGCGCGGTTTCAGGGGGTCGTAGACGGCGGTGGCCGTCGTTCACCGCCGTATGACACTTCGCTTCTTTTTTGGGCCCCATAAGTGAAGGAATTTCTCGATCCTCGTTTGAATTGCGCGAAAATAGTGTTCTAAAGAGCGACTCGAATTTCAAAGATTCATTTTTTTTAATAGAAATTTGAAGGTTCTTTATGATCTTATTTTGTTTCTAGAACCCTTTTTTATATATATGTCCCTTAATTATTTCTTTTTTAAATCGTTAAATTAATAAAATACTCCTAAATTTTATTACTTTATTTCAAAAATATTATTTTAATAATATTTTAAAAAAGAATGTCCTAATCTTGCTAGTTCAAGTTGGTTGACAGAGACGTCAACTAATTGAGTGGGGGAGGATGTCACGGTCATGAATGTCCTAAGCGTGTTGTCCATGGCTGCATGACAGATATCACGGTCTTACTTGTTCAGGACGTGTTGTCCATGGTTGCATGTCCGTTCCCAACCCCTTTTTACATGTTTTAATCCTAGATAGGTCTTTACCATTCCATATTGGGTCAGTATAAGGGTGTATGATCGTTCACCAAAATCGTGTCTATACCTACAACGGCTAAAATGCTCCAAAATTACTATAGGGGATATGACTGGACTTCTTCCTACCCGATAGTTATATACAGTAACTCGTCGTTGTCTTTTGCTTACATTCTCATATAACACAAATTTCAATTTCTAAAATCTTACTTTCAAAACTCTCTTTCGAAATCTCTCTGCCCTGATTTTCTAAAACCTTTTTCTTGGACCGAGGCAGAGGCTCGAGCATACGTCGCTTGGTCGTAGTAACGCAAGAACGAATAGACTTAACTCTTAAAAATAAAAGTAACACTAACCCCTTTTACTTTTATTAAAAAAAATTATTATCGTCAACATATGAATTACAGCTTATCAATAATTCATAGATTATCTCCCGTGTTAATTTTGAAAGTAAACATTTTGAATTTATTTTTTAAAAATTTACTTTTTTTTAATTTCTCTACCATAAGGAAAAAAACAAAAATATTTTTAAATATGTAAAATAGTATAAAAAATATATTCGAGAGATAATTGTTCGTTCATAAGGAATGTATGAATTCTCGAAAAGAGAAAACATCGAAATGGACCCTCCAGAATTGTCTCGACCCTACACGAGTGGATAAAAAGTTGGATCTCACTTGAATCGCCTTGTTTATTCTCCTCGGGAGAAATTTGGTTTCAAACCCTAATTCAAACAGGAGAAGTATGTCATTCTAAGGATGATCTACGTCACATTTGACTATCTACGTGACTAAGAGCCCTCAAAACCCAAACATCACAATACAGAGCAAATAACCCATCGTGCAAAAGCAAGAGAAATCTCATCCAACTCTTTTTCATTTTTCGTCTCCCAGCAAAACACGATCGTCTATTCCAAAAGCAAAGCCTCTCAGCCCTCCAAGATGGGATTGGAAAACGACCCAACACGCAGACACAACAATACAAAGTCATAACCAAATCTTTTTATTGACTCTCCCAATTCACAAAACAAAAGAGCTAGAAACGAGCACTTCTAGCCACTTCACTTCACCAGCATTGATAACTAAAATTTCTCAATCTCATACCCAAACTGTGAACTGATTTCTAAAACGCAAAATGTTTTCGAATTCGATTCAACCCTTTTCTCGAACATTATCAACTACGTCAACTACGAACATAAGTGACATATTTTAATTTTGAAAATAGAGGTAAAGTGGCATACCCAAAACCCAAAATGGGTGGGAAAACAATGAATTGAGTACCCATAATAGTGATGGTAGGGTCACTAAATCCAAATAAATGGCCATAAAATAGGGCCACCAAACAAAGCCCTTTTTTCCCCTTTTCTCATCATTTCTTAGGTGATCTTGATAGATTATGACTATTTGGGTTCAATTTTTTGTTTTTTTTTTCTTCTAATTTTTATAATAAGACAAGTTTTTTCTTGCTTTTTCTTTTTCCCTTTTCCCTCTTTTTAACCTATTATCAAATATCTTGTCGTGACATAATTTATTGTTTTGTTCGTATAATTTTTACCATATTTCGACATTTTTTTTTTGTTGTCAATAATCCTTTGAATAAATGGTACACGAATGAGTTGAGACTATAGAATGAGAGCGATCATGAGGATAGAATGAATAAGAAACACTTAAAAGAATTGTAACGACCTAGATCCACTGCTAGCAGATATTGTTCTCTTTGGGCTTTCTCTTTCGGGCTTCCTCTCAAGGTTTTAAAATGCGTTTACTAGGGGGGTGTTTTGTTCTCCTCCTCAACTAATGCGGGACATCACAACTAAGAAGGTGCATTTTTTTTTCGGTGGCTCGATTATAGGAACTTCAAGGTTAAGCATGGTTTACAGTAATTCGTGTTGGTTTGTGGGGATAGTTTTTCATTAAAAGTGAAGATAGGTAATGTGACTATGTGTACCAAATTTGGATTATGAATCTTGGACATGGATATCAATTTCAGATTTATTAAAGGTACACTGATACGAATCCAACCACTAATCATTTGCGTGGACTATAGTTTAAGACTATTTATGTCATTTCATTATTTTCTTCCATTTTTATTTAATAGTTTTTATTGGTAGTTTGTAATTGCTACATTATGTTTGAATTATCTTTTTGGTCTGTAATATTCAAATTTGAAATCACGGTCGCATAAAAAAACCTTGTGTATGAAACTCTCTCAGTGTTATGTTTCTTTCAGACTTGGCTTTAGGTTTGATGTTAAAATCGATTCATTGAATTAGTTATGATTTAAGAGTGACCATCATAGATTCAAAATTCGATTTAAGAGCTATTCACCCTTCTAACCCGTTTTTGGTTGAAATCATTCGTAAAATTAGCTTTCATTTGTAAGAGTTTGCAATGAAAGTAGAACGACCTCTAGCTTTACAAAATTCAGCAGTTTTTGTGCTTATCATAGAATAAAATTCAAAATAACGAGATGCAAATAATATTTTAACCTAAAAGATAGGTGGTCGAGATGGATAATGGATCTAACGTGTTAGCTTTGGGGCGTGGCGCGAAGAAAATGTGAACAAAACTTTACCATGCCATTAAATTTGACTTTTTATTTTTTATTTTTTTAAAATTAATTTTCTATTACATATTCACCATTATTAAGAACTTATTCACCTAACCCCATATTGGTTAAATATATATAATAAGAATAAGATAAAATGCAATAAAGTCTCAATTACTTTGAAATTGAAGAAGCCATCATTTTTGTTTGAATTTTTTCTTTCATATTTTTTTACTCTATAGTTTTTATTTCCATTTAAAGTATATATTATATGATTGTATGGAATATTTGATGAAAACTAAACATGGGTGGTGATCATATATTATATTTGTTCATATGGTTAGGTAAGCCCACTATATATTGTGTTTGTTAATAATTGTTTTTTTAGGTGATTAGTAAAATAATATTAATAATAATAAAACTCGAAAAAAAAGCTGAAATTACAAAATTGCCTTTAAATTTAAAGATTCTCCTCTTTTATCGGTGTCCTTATGGTAATTTAACATATTTAGAATCATTTTTTTTTTAAATCAAGGTGATCAAAAAACCCGATGACTTAAAAATTCGATCAACCCAACCTATCCCGATTTTGGGACAGATTATGAACTTATTTGGGATTGAATTAGTTCTTGAATTGAAAATAAATAAACATATTAATTTGAATAAATGACTCGAACCAATCTAACCCAATTAAAAACTATGGTTTAGTTGAAAAAAATTTAATAATTGGGTTGAGTTTAAAAAATATCTCGACCCGACCTAATCCAACACACGAACATAAATTGCTTTTGAAAAGATGTTACGGTTAAGACATGTATACGTGCACGTTTCGATTTAGTACAATGATACAAACAAATAACAAAGCTAATGAACAAGGAATGTCCATTGCCTATGAGCCCTCTTAACTTGAAATGGTTCATTGGAAGAATAAAAGGGTTAAGGAGAAGAGAGGCATACTGTTTTGTAGTAGAATGTGTGCTTCCCAATTCAGCTTCATTCTTCACTCTGTCATGAAGACACATTGTAAAAGTTGGCCAAGTACGCCACGGCTTCGGCGTTATTGTTACAGACCTTCCAAAGCGAGTCGACCTCTCCCTTCCCCAAGGTACCCCGGTTTTCACAATCGTCGAAAAACTCGAGCAGCTTCGAGTAGAAAGAGTCGTAGTTCATCAACAGGTAGGGAACTGGAAGTTCTGACCCTATTCTCCTGAGCTGAATCAAAGCTAGAATCTCAAACACCTCGTCGAAAGTACCAATGCCGCCGGGGAGTGTAACGAAAGCAGTCCGATCAGAACTACAGCTTCTAACCGCAGCGTCGACGAGCCCGTGTTTTCTTGCAGAGAAAAACCTGCATTATATAGATTAGTTCAAGCAGGGAGGGTGCAGTGTCTGCTGTGTACTATCAGATAACTTATAGGATCTATATCTATATCACCTGCAAGTAAAATAAGTCTCTGTAGGTAAGTATGGATGAAACTTTGAGGATGTCCATTCCCCAGATTCTCTACCGATTTTGAATCCTCCTACAGGATTTCCTGCCTGCATAGCACCTTTCGTAACCGCATCCATAAGACCCGGACCGACGCCTGACCAAGTCGTGCAATCCAAAAGTTCTGAAATCTGCATAACAGGGATTGAAAAGGTAGACTCGTAAAGTTGAAGATTATGCATTAACTCTATCTATTTTTTCTTTCCTTTGTTCCTAACATGTAACAGCTCAAGTTCATCGCTAGTAGATATGGTCTTTTTTGGGACTTTTCTTTCTGGGCTTCCCCTCAAGGTTTTAAGACGCATCTGCTAAGAAGAGGTTTCCACATTCTTATAAGGAATGTTTCGTTCCCTTCTCCAACTGATGTGGGATCTCACAATCCACCCCCTTGAAAGTCCAACGTCCTCGCTGGCACATCGCCCGGTGTTTGGCTCTGATACCATTTATAACAGCCTAAGCCTACCGCTAGCAG